TTATATGTACCTTGGGTACGAAGAGTTTAAAAAGTATACGGAGTAGGTATCCAAAGTTCTCGAAGTATGGATTGTACCTAATGTGCCGATATACGGCACGCCAGTAGATAGCTTCGACCTATTCAATGAACCTCAGCCAATACAATCGGCCAAAAACACACTAACACCCCCATCCCTTTCGCGGACCAAATTTCTGTGGTGGATGCCCCTGACTAAACTCGAAGGGGTCAAGTAGCCCTAAAACTGGTGCCTGTATTACCTCATTCAATACATACAATACCAACTCTCCAGGACAATGGGTTTAAAACCGCTTCAGTACTCCAGAACTCAGGTCAGCCACAACCCCGGCTAAAAGTACCACATCCGCAGTGGCACATCTTAAAAACAGGAGATCGAGACGGATGCATCGCAGAATACGGAATACTATCCAGATAGAGACTCAAAGATCGGAGAGGAGGGGGGATCCATATCACCACCCTTCAAACCTTTGATTAATTAAATCAGAAAAAAGGTCACAAATAACCAGTGACAAAAGCTGACATTCGCTAAAAATCGACAAGATTCCAGAAATCACATTTTAATCTATTTTCCTTCAAAGTTTAATGAGCAAAGCAATGAAAAATCAAAATAAGAAAGTCTAGAACTCTTTCCAATTTTCTTTCTTCCCCCGCCCAGAATAAAAATGCGCGAGGGGACTTTTCATCCCCCACTCCGCTAGAAAATCAGATCAATATTCGACGGTGAGATCAAACTTTGGATGTGCGGTCCTGTTTTCCCCGGTCAATAACCGAAGCTCGGTGTTTCAGATTAGGTGATTGTGGGATACGAGAGATTCAATAATTAAACCTGTTGATAATTCATTTTATTTGATTTTGTGTTTTTTACTTTGATTTTGCCCTTTCGTTGATTGCGTGAGGGCCTTTCGGTTGCCTTTTTTTTTGTACTGTATTTTTTGCAAGGTTCAACAGTAACAAGGCTTTGGTTCGAATTCGAAAGTTAAACTCGGAGTAAAGGGCGAGAAACTATTGGGAAAATGCTCCGGAGTAGAACTCTGATGTCTGGGTAACAGTGAAGAAAGATGTACTCGTCAAGGGATGGGAAGCAATAAGTTTCACCTGAATTGACGCGGGGAGACACAGACACAAATGTATGGGGCATCAGGAGATCAATCAATCAATATTGATTATGATTTTATCCCTTGGGAAACTGAGACATTGCGTCCTCAATACCTGAGGCATTCATCTTGAAATGACGACATCATTATTAATGCATCTATGAATAACCTGAGGCACCACAGTGGTGCTGCCCCTCACCAACAGAAACTAAATACCTCGCGATATCATCCTACTCAATAGCTGGAACATACTATTGTATAGAACGACAGGAATTACGAACAAAACCACAATGCAAGTCCTTCTCCTCGGCGGCCACGGCAAAGTTGCCCTCCATTTAACCCCACTTCTTCTCAACCGTGGCTGGAATGTCACCAGCGTGATCCGCAATCCAGAGCATGAGAATGAAATTCTCGCGCGAGGCAAAGGCACAAAGGGCAAACTGAACGTCCTCCTTTCCAGTCTAGACGACATCAAGAGTGACGAAGACGCAAAGAAAATTATCGACACTGTGTCTCCGGATTATGTAGTATGGTCAGCCGGTATGCGAAAGATATTCAAACTTACCCCGCGTGATGTCCTCCAGAAAATATGCTGGAGTATATCATTTACAAGCTCGAGGCTAATGTGCAAACAAAAGGCGCCGGTGGTAAAGGTGGCCCCGAACGGACGTTTGCCATTGACGAACGCGCCGCCAAACACTTTATCTCTGCGTCGTTTGCTTCCCCCCGTGTGACCAAGTTCCTCCTCGTCTCCTGGCTTGGTAGTCGGCGGGTCCGGCCTAGCTGGATGTCTGATGAGGGCTGGGAGGCTATCCAGAACGTATTCTACAATGTTCTCCCCGCTTATGCGAAAGCGAAGCTGGAGGCGGACGAGTACCTGACTGCGTTCGCGGCTCGGCGTAAGCAGAGCCAGGCCTCGCCCTTCCAGGCCATTTGTCTGCGTCCAGGTACTCTGACTGATGAGCCGGCCACCGGAAAGGTGCAGTTTGGTAAGACGGAGGGGCGAGGCAATGTGACCAGGGAGGATGTGGCTATTGTGGCGGATCGGTTGCTTGCTCGTTCTGATACTAACGGTTGGTATGATTTGATCAACGGCGATGAGCCGATTGATGACGCGGTCGAACGGGTGGTTAGGGAGAAGGTGGATGTCGTTGAAGGGGAGGACGTGGATGCGATGGTGAAGCGGTTTTTCCCGTAAAGCGACATGCATAATGCTACCTAATTGACAACAGTATATCTTGCTGCTTGCTGATACCTATACCATCATTGACAATATACACAAGATACCCTACTTTCAGTGGGCTTCAGCTCATATCCAGTTAGCCTAATGAATTCTCGGGTGCTAACTATATACTAGATATGCAAAAAATGGTATATACATAATAACCACTCGTACCACAGCTGGATCTATTCTAATTACAGCTTCGCCTTGGGTGCCGCCGCCGCCTCCTTGGCTTGCGCCTTGAGAACTCTCCGTAAAATCTTTCCGCTCACGCTCTTGGGGATTGTGTCCACAAAGCGTACTCCACCACGTAGTCGCTTGTGGTACGCGACCTTACCATCAAGCCATTTGATAATATTAGCTGCCTCTTGTTCTGCGCTGGCGCCTGAAGCTTTGCTCTTCGCACTCCGCACAACAAAAGCAAGCGGAACCTCTGTGCCGTGAGCCTCACTTTCAATCCCGATAACGGCGACATCGTCGATTGCCTCGTGGTCCACAAGGATACCCTCCAGCTCTGCCGGAGCCACCTGGAAGCCCTTGTACTTGATGAGCTCCTTGACACGATCCGTGATGTAGAAATTTCCGTTCTTGTCTTGGTAGCCTACGTCTCCGGTGCGGAACCATCCGTCGGTAAGACAATCGGCGGTTGCGGCTGGGTTGTTGTGGTACCCTTGGAAGATATTGGGGCCCTTCATGTACAACTCGCCTACCTCGCCTACTGTTACCTCGCGCGGCTCAGATTCGTCCTCGGGCATGGTCATGTATTTGGCTTCCATGTTCGGCAACAGTTTGCCAACAGATCCGATGCTAGTGCGCCATTCCTCCCAAGGCTGGGCGTGAGTAGTAGGGCTAGTCTCGCTGAGACCGTAGCCTTGCTTGATACCACATTTGATCCGTGCATACACGGCCTCTACAAGCTCGTGCGTGAGCGGGGCGGCTCCCGAGTTCATCATGCGGAGACTGGAGAGGTCATACTTGTCGACTATGGGGTGTTTGCTCAACAACAAAACGACCGGAGGAACGACGTAGCTAAACGTGATGCGGTAGTTCTGAACATGAGCACACCATTTTTCAATATCGAATCTCTCCATCACCACAAGTTGGTAGCCTTGATACAGTGTTTGGTGCACAAGACAGGTTAAACCTAGTGAGTCCGTCAGTATATTCGAAATATATATATATCCAATCAGCGACTGAACCTACCATAAATATGGAAGAATGGCAAAAACGCTAGTACCCGGTCTCCTTTGCCGTCGGCACCGCCATTCCAGGTCAGGTGGCCTGCCTCTCCTGCAGCCAACTGAAGAGAGTTGGCGACGATATTCCTATGGGAAAGCATGACACCCTTAGGAACACCAGTGGTACCCGAAGAATAAACCAGGAATGACAGATCCTTATCCGGATTGATCTTGGTTTTGCGATACCTGGTTGCCCCCGAAATGTTTCGGATAGACGTAAAATGTTTCAACCTGGCTTCTGGGTCGCGCTTGTCTCCAATGAGGATGATGCGGTCCTCGGGGATGTTGGCTTGCTTGGCGGCCTCTCTTACTACCGATAGCTGGGGAACCTGCGTAATCACGGCTTTCGCTCCCGAGTTCTTCAGCTGGAAGGCCAGTTCTTCGGTCGTGTAGGCTGGGTTTGCCGGGGATACGACGCCTCCAGCCCAATGAGCTCCCCACATCACCACCGGGGTGTCAATGCTGTTGGGAGTGAACAACGCCAAAACATCTCCTTTGCGCCAATCATAAATGGCTTTTAGTCCTTGACCAAAGGCAAGTGCTGCATCTTTTAGGGTTTTGTAGGTGTAAAATCGTTGTGTGTCGGCATCCTGGTAAATGACTGGCGAGATACGTTAGCTTCCGAATACAGGATAAATGAGGCGCCAGCCAAGGAGACGGCCAAAATGGCCAAAGGTGGGCGGGCGTACTGTTGTCATCTGGAAAGGTCCTATCCTTGCGTTCGAATAGAAATGTCCAAAGGTCGACATCGGGGATGTCAACCGGCGGATACTGTGAGGAGACCGGCATGATAACGGTGCGGGGAAATCTGGGGTTAGGCGCCGGGAGCAGTGAGAATGGCTCGTAGCCTCGTACAAAGCTAGGGACTTGGCAGGAAAGGCGAATCAGCTGGGAAGGGGAGGGATGTGGAAAGAAGGAAGTTCATGAAGGGATAGACGAATAATTAAAAGGCAAGGAAAGAATAATCCGTTCGGACCTGTCTCGTACTCGGCCCTCGGCTTGGGATTGATAAGGGATAACCGTCCGCATACCTTCGGATGTACACCCGACCAAACTGAACCTTAAGTCCGTTTTAGGAACAATTGGCTACATCGGGTAACCATGAAAACGATCCGCCTAAAGCACCTCTAGTTCAGAAAGAATATCATACTAGTAACACTGCTTAGGCATTAGTAGAACAATTCGACTCTACGGAGTGCTCTCTACATATATAGCTTATGTACAACCGCTGAAGCCTCAGAAATGAGACACTATCCGGAAATGATATCACAACGGACCGTGCGAGAATCTTGGGACGGAATCAGCATGCAAAAGTATGTTACACCGAAATCTCTTGGGGCAAGCTTCCAGATCATATTGACAATGAAGTTTAAAATGATAAAAAAAGATATTGATATGTTTCTAGTGGAAGAAGAAAAAAGTTAACCGTCCAGGATGAGGATCGAACTCATAACCTCCTGATTAACAGTCAGACGCGCTAACCAATTGCGCCACCCAGACAAGTTCTTGATAAAATTCAAAATTAACTATTACATATGCGATGGACCCCAAGCGAAGTAAGATCATCTACAAATTAGGTTGTCAAAAGCAAGTTAAGCTAGGATCATCGCCTAAAAAGTATACGGAGTAGGTAACTTTGCAATGATCTCTGCAAATGTCGAACAAGGTAGAGGGACATAAATAAGTCACTCACACGCAAAGGTATGAAAATCAAATCAAATGTGGCGGTGAATAGTCGGGTCCGCGTTATTCTCATTTTGAGCTCGCGGCTGCTCGCCTCACTCTCGGTTATACAACATTTTATCTCTGACAATGATCTAACACAGCTCGGAGCTCCCCTCTAATTCTCTGGATATACAGTATACTAGTGTACAAATGCTCTTACCATATTTCAGCACATTGATTATAGTACCAGGCAACCTTACCTAGTACTTAGTGATTCACTGCTTTGTTGGGCTAGTTGACTCTTGATCTTTGGTGCTCGAAGCCAGTATAGGCTTCATACTTGATGATTTCAATAAAAGTTTGAAAAGCATACAATCGTCTGGGTGGCGCAATTGGTTAGCGCGTCTGACTGTTAATCAGGAGGTTATGAGTTCGATCCTCATCCTGGACGGTTAGCTTTTTTTCTGCAACTAATCTTTTCCTTTTTGCCTCACTCATCAGTACTTTGACTAGAGGTTCTCACTGCGCTTTCATACTCTTAGAAGAGCATTTCTGAGTTGACTTCCCTCCCTTCCCTAGCGTCCGAATGCGGACATATTGACAGAGTCGGCTTAGGACTTCTTATGACAACCCCACTTGCCATGCGTATTGTATAATGTCACTCTGCGACCCTTCCAATCCTTTCTTCTATACGTTGACCAAACCTTGATATCATATGGAAAATACTCGTTAATAAAGTCCAATAGTATCCAACTAACTTCAATAGTGAACTGATGGTTCTTCTCAAGTTCCTTCCGAAGGCTGCGCTATTCTCCATGTACATGGACTGAGCGTAGTATAGTTGCCCCGAAGAGAACCAGATAACCTGGTATCTTGTTTCTATGGATTGGATATCCTCTAGTACGGGCCTGGAACAACGGTCAATGCTGGCCTAATTTGAATGGAGATTTTCTAGCATTATATACATACCTTAGGGTATATATATTCTCCTAGGCTTGAACAGCATGTGTCTTCTGTGCTTTCTCCAGGATTCTACCCCACTAGCGTACGTAGTTCCAGAACAAGGACAGGACATTCTTGATTCTATACGAGCATGAACTAGGAAGGATATGAGTTAGATACAAAAATAGGGTTTGAAATCAAACAGAGCAAGACAGTATAAAAGTATCTCCACTGAATTTGTAGTCTGTAGAAAAACAAACAGTAGCGAGGCTTTATTTTCCTGGATCATTCGTTTACATGTTATAAGAACGTTGCTTTCAATCATATCCTGTGGCTCACTATATATAGTGATATCTGGATATTACTCGTTTACCCGTTTCAGTCGACGTAGATAATACGAAGTTTGTACTCCCGGATTTTTCTGCCTATCCAGTTGGATAGCATAGTGTTGGTTGGTCTTTCGGGAAGATTGGGAACTATCACCATTAAACCAGCCTCAAAATATCGCTCAAGAACCGAGAACACCATCAGCCTATTCCTTGAAGAAAAGAGTTCAACAGGCCGGACTTTCCCGAAAATAGCATCCATACTGGCTTGCCCGTGTGTGTATGAATATGTGGGAAGCGGTCATGATATCTGAGTGAAACTAGTCCTGAAGAATTGGGCACCAAATAAGCCCATTCTCATTGACACCCTCATAGTCTGTAGATCTTTTGGATTACGTGGATCATGTATGCTCGCTTGTGCGAAATTTTATGTCGCTTGACTTGCCCTGAGAGACTTTCACAAAGAGTTAATTAATACCATCACTGCAGATCCCATACATTGGAACGCGCCTGTATGCTGTCTTGCTTCCCACTTCCCACGCCATTAACAGATAGAGCATTAACTGATAATGCTCTGCTTCCACCTGTGATGGAGTCTTTATTTCGATATAGCAATGCACCGCATTAGGTTTACCGGTGGCGGATATAAGATAAGGCCTTGACCGCGGTGGGCAGGCCCTCGCCCACTGGGCCCTGTCCAGTCCGTGTGGAATGATATCAGCCGTGGGTGTATATACGGTGACTGGTAGTCAGTGCCAGGAATCCCCCGGTCGTGCAGCGTGCGCAGAAAAGCGTTTATCTCAGGGGCAGTCGCGTCCACGGGCAGGTGTGGGGGCTCCAACGGCGGCACCGAATGCGTGAACTCTTGATCTTCGTCGGGTATTGTGGTAGTCCTAAACGGCAGGGCCACTGGAAAAGCTCATGGCCCAATACTGCGTCGAGTTTGTCTTTCAGGAACACCGTTTGGGCATACATTCCTCTTCTACCCAGAGACATCTGTGAACTCAAGATACTTGGCATCATTGTACTCAAGCTGGCGAGGTCATACAACCTGTGGAAAATGCTTCCTTGCCTCAGTAAGCTTTCCATCCCCATGTGCACTGTTGCAATTCCACTGCATATATTCTCGATTGTATTTGGCGTCGTCTAGATATTTAACCAATCGCCCGTCGACTGGCAATTTCCGGATGAATCCTTCACCCTCTGGGTTGAAATTAGGGATAAATATGATGTTCAACTTCTTAATAATTGAACCGAAACTAGAGATTTAGTAATAGCTGTTACCGTTCTCTTCGTCTTCAATATGTAGAATCCGAGTGTATGCGATGCTACGGTGACAGGATCGAAATTTTCAGAGAAGAGGTTTTCAAATAATGATTGGTACCCCAGTCGAGAGGATAGGGTTACATATAGCGTCTTTCCTCCCCTTGATTCCAGTATTGATATTTTGCCATAGCTGGCGCAAGATCTTCGTCTGTTTCTCATAAATCCACGTCTTCGATTCAGGCTTGATTTACCATCTAGGGATAGGTAGCGGAGGAAAGTTCGGAGAAAATGTACAGTTCATCAGATACACCACTAGATATGTATCGATTTAGTCTAGCGGATAAGATTTTTCCTACCTGCTGACCTTGCGTGATGACACTGTCCTTTTGAAATCTTGGCCTTGTCTTGTCCGATATTATGACTGGCCTTCCGAGGGTCGCATTAGCTGGAGCAAGTATATTGTAGTTGGACTGTTCTACCTCAATGTGATAAATTTTCAAGTCGAAAAGGTCTTTCACAGTGAAAGCAGCCTTACTGGCTCGTCAGGCTGCCTTCTTGACTATTGTGCCCTGATTCTGATCGGAAGTATATCCAGGGGTCAGAACCCCAGACGTTGCCGGTGTTGTAACAATCTGGCTTTCGGTTGGGCCTGAGAAGATACAGAGAGACAGAAGACTAGAAAGTAAAGAGAAAAAGGGTCGGTAGAACGAATAAGTAGCTCAAAGAGCTGCCGCCCTAGAATAGTGAATGAGTATTTGAGATGGATGCTAAAGTCCCACGTAACTCAGAGGGATATTAAGGATTTCATCGATGTAGCTTTCTTTATATGGGTTGGTAACCTATATCAAAGGCACTATCATATGGCACAAGGGTCAATAATATAACAGATTAGGTAGACAGCAATTTACCAGATACTTACCCTGCGGGTCTATGGTCGATGTGAAGCCCTCTTCTACAATTTACTGTTGTAGTGACTTGCATGATAGATTCCTTGTTTCCAGGTGCTCACCCTTTTTGACATAGCCCAGTGAATATAGAATAGTTCTCTATCCTAAGATGCATACAACAGATCTACCTGGGTAATCCAGTCAGGCGCCATTTTCCTTCTCTAATCGTAGGTATATCCATCGAGAATATTGACAAGAGTGTTCATCTCGTACATATTCTCCCATCCATTCCGCAGATAACTATAAATTTAGGATATCCCCATTACTCTTATGACCATTTACAAACACAGCGAGTAGACAAGCCGGGTGTAGTACGTGCAAGTAGAGCATCTTTTTTGGAATATTCAGTCTCTGCTAGATAAAAGCGTACTGTGACTTTGTCTCCTTCTCTTAGATTGAGATCGGAACCGCGAGCTATGATAAGCTTAAATTGACCACAGTAAACCATGATAGTGACAGACTAGCGTATCTAGGCTGGTGCCTCGATATTTGAGGAGAGCTACTATAAAAGTCATGCGATATGTAGTATAACTCGAATGCTTTGCATAGGTAAGTAAAGGTACATTTTTCAGATCATAATGCTATATTTGATATAATAACCCGAGTTTTTCTTGTTTCCTTCCTTCCCCTCCCCTTCTCCAAGGGCACGGGGTGAAGCTCGCGAGTCGCGGCAATAGTGAAGACAGCTCTTGGAGTAGTCACTTAAGATTGTCCTAGGTTAATAATTTAAAATATAATAAAAGTAAAATATATAAATGTCTGGGTGGCGCAATTGGTTAGCGCGTCTGACTGTTAATCAGGAGGTTATGAGTTCGATCCTCATCCTGGACGTTTGTTTTTGCTTTTCTCGACAATTCTACACTCGGACTTTGTCGTGCTGGTAGGTGCCACTGGCATATTCATTTTTATTGTGCGATTTTGCATCCTGGATCAGGACTCAGGTTAGGTGTTGTAGCTAGCAAGATGGGTTCCTCGTTGGGAAGGAGAGCCGATGTCAGGAAAACAGGTGGCCATCACCTGATACTGAAACGGCTGGACGAACATCAAGTTTTTAGTTCCATTATACACTGGCAGCAATAGTTGAATGGGATGGCGGTTCAATTGAGACTGGGGAGCAGCTTAGGAAGCGACTGATACGCTCCTCAGCCAAGCCCTGACGATCTTTTGACTGCCCTTTAGTGGCCCCAAAGAAGATAATCGAGTCTAAGGCGTACCAGGACAACCTCTGAACAAGGGTCATTACAGAGGAAGGAGACCAGCAAGTGTATACTGCGTCTGATGGATATGCAGGATCGGAACTAGACCCCTATTATTGTCGCATAGGGACAATGAAATGTGCACGATGAGGGTGGTT